CCCCCCCCCCCCCCCCCCCCCGACTGTTACCAAGAATGAACCTGATTCTTGGGGTCATGATGTGGTGGCTGTCTTGCTGGACCCTTTGAATTTTTTAGAGATGGGGGGTGCGCTATAGAGCAGGTAGACGCTCTTCTGATTCATTCTGGGCAACAGTCTCCATCCTAGAATAGAGGCGACCCATATGGATTGTGTGCGTTTAGAGTGCTTGTTTGCTCGGGGCGGTCGGTCGGTCATGAAACGTTTCGTGCAGGGGGTTCCGCGCCTTTGGGGCGCACGCCCCGGGGAGAAAGATTGGAGAATAAAAACGATAGGTCATACGTGTTCTGTGGTTTTTCGTCGTGCAGGTTGGACTCGATGGCAGCGTGCAGGATGAGCGCCACGTTCCAGCCGAAAGGGAACATCCCCGACCTCGGGTGATGCACGCTCGCTGAAACCAATCCATCCCCGTTCCTCGCGTATCGCGCTCGCACTCCGATCTACATCCCAAGCGCGCAAGAGGGTGTCGCCCGACATGAAGATTCACACGCGGATGCGCTTGTCGTGCACTCCGCAAAACATTTTCACGATCACTTCGGTTTTCTGCTTCAAGGAAGGAGTGTTTTTTGTTGGAACCCATAATCGACCACGCTTCCACTTAAAAACCATCACCAGGTCAGACCTTGTGCCTGCCTCCTGTTCCCATGCAGAGCACACAGGACGACTGAAGTTGGGATAGATTGCCGTCCGCACCAAGAGCGCTGACACCTCATATCACCATAACCGTGCCAACCTCGCCATCATCATGGCCATGGCCACTTGGCGTGTGATGAAAGGCTTCGAGAGGGGCACGACACGCAGAGAGCGAACCGGTGGCTAGCCAAACCTCACCAAACGTCACGACGCCTGAAATGACGACTACAACAACCCGACGTTACCTGTTTCAGGCCCACAACACGACCACTCTCTAGGCCTTCGCGCACGTTGCGCCTCAAATGACCACTGCATCCACCTCACTTGTGTTTTTCAGGCCCACAAAACGACCACTCTTTATAGTCCTTCGGCGTCAACACGCGGTGCTTTTCTGCGCCACACTGCCTCTATCATCCCTCTTGGTGCTTTTACCCCCACTCCACCCTCTCGCCAAGACAAGGAAAAAGAAGAAAATCGGATACGTTTCGACTTTCATATTTATTTGTTAGGCCACCACAAAGCATATTTACATCAGCGATATGCACCCTCGCGCTGTTATCGTGCACACGCACGCACGGCGCAACAGTGCTGAAACACGCCTATTTACATCAGGCACCGAAAATTGGTGCCGGTTTGGGAGCAACACAACAGGAGGAATCAGCGCGCCAGGCACGTCCCCGTCTCCCCTCTCTCTGCGCTTGGGACACGAAATATAAGACTTGTTGTTCATGGCCTTTCATAGATAGAAATGTACGCGTGCATCCGCGAAAAAATCCCAACCTCACCATCGAAAACCCGGCAACTGGTTGAAGGGCATGCGACCAGCGCGCGTGAGGAACGTTCAATAGTCTCACTCCTGCTTTCAACTGCAGCAGCAGCCTGAAACATACCGCACACGTTCACATTCGGGTCCGCCCACAGCCCACAACACCAACAACTCACTAAATCTCCTCTCTCCTGCCCCCCCCCCCCCCCCCCCCCCCCCCCCCCCCCCCCCCCCCCCCCCCGGACCTAATTTTTTCTCATTTCACGCATGGCACAGGTCCCTATTTACAAACGCAATCGACCGCCCAATAGCGCCGCCCTACACCGAGAACCAACACAAGGTGCGGCCAAGCGACAGGTTACCACAGCAGTCCACCAAGACAACACAGATACCCCCTACCCTATGCTCTCTACCCTCCACCCTTCCTTCACCGTGGTACAGCAGCAGCATGCAACAGCAGCAGTACTAGTAGCGGAACGTCAAGGACGACCGCACCAGACAAAAAATAAACGACCAGCGACGAAAACATCCAAACATCAACGTCTGTCAGCCTGTGGCGGGGGAGGTCGCGAAAGCGCGCACACCGACTGGATAATCCCCTCTCGCTGCGGATTGGAACGGCGTCGCCCCCCAACCTTCCCCAAGCGACCCCGCAAGGACTTGACCAGCGCCGAAGCCGCGGACAGAGAGCCGCCCTTCTCCTCCAGCAGCGCCGCCCGTCGCCGCTTTATCTGTGCCCGGCGCACCCGCACCGCCTCGCTCTTTGTGAGCCGCCGCCGGGGCTCGGCGGCGACAACCGCCGCCGTTTCCGCCTCGGGAGAGGTCTTCGGCGTCGCCTTCTTATTCTTGCCTGCCGGAGAAGAGGCGGACGAGGAGGAGGAGGAGGAGGAGCCCGGCTTGGCCATCGAAGCGGCTTTGGGTAAGGGGATAATTTTCACCTCCTTAGCCGTCGGTGATGCTACTACGTCCCTCGGCGGCGACTCTGCTCCTCCAGTGGCAAGCTTAAGCTTCTCCCCGTCCATATTCGTGACGACGCTACTTCGCGGTCGCTGCCGCCGGCGCGCGGTCTTCACTTCCACGCTAGACGAGACTCTTGTCTCTTCCTTTTCCCCCCTTCCCATGTCGTCCCGCGGGTTGCCCATCCAGTCGACGCCCTCTTCCTCCAGCCGCGCCCGCGCCTTTGTCGACGGTGCACTCGACTCCGACTTCTTCTTCTCCGCTCTCGATGACACCTCTGCATCCGCCGTGTTCTTTGCTACCGCGAGTTCTCTCTCGCTGCATTCCCTTGGGTTGCCCCTCCAGTCCAAGTCCTCTTCTTCCAGCCGATCGGGAACCTTCCGCACGTCCTCCTCCTCCTCCTCCTCCCCCCCCGGCGGCGAGCTCAGCTCCGGCTTCTTCAACTTCTTCCAAAACCACTTCGGCTTCTCCGTTTCCCCCTCTCCCTTAGCCGGCATCGTGCTCTGCCTCTCGCCGGCTGTCTCCCTCCCGTCCCGTCCCACTTCTCCCACCCCGCCCCCTATAGCCTTCACCCTCGTCGTCGTCGTGCCCTTTCTCCTCTCGCCCTCCGCGCCCCCGGCGCTCGAGACATCCTCCACCACGATGCCGTCGTCCTCTCCGCCCGGGGCCGAGACCTCCGCAGCCATGACAGTCTCGTCCCGAAACTCGCCGCCTACCTCCACCAGCAGCCTCCGCGTCGCCTCCTCGAGCTCCCTGCCCTGGCCACCCCCGGATCCTTCTTCGCCGGCTTCGGCAAGCACTGCTGTTGTCGCCACCCTCGAGTTGTTGTTGTTGTTGTTGTTGTTGTTGTTGTTGCCGCGACCAAGGAGTGTCCGCAACCCGAAGCCCGGGAAGCGGCGCGGGAGCCGCCTTCGGACGCCCAGGGCCGCCGGCCGGACGCGGGCTGCTAGGGCGGCACCCCGAGATGAGCTGGGGGGTGGGGACGGAGGTTTCACCTCGATGTTGAGGAACCTGTTTAGCATGGTACGGGAAGGGGTGGGCACGTTTTGAACACCTGAGCGGCTGGACCATTGACTACGCGTCCTCGAGAGGACGGAGCATTTTTCGAACAGAACCGACCATCGATGGCCAATCGTTCCTTCGTACTTTGCCAAACGTGTCCCAAAAATATTTTCCCTAATCTATCTTTCGTATCGATATCACTTCCCGCCTTTTCAACCCACCTCCGGTGTCCCAGTACAGCTACCGTATTCTCCTGGTTTTTCCAATGCTTCAAACATTTCCCTGTATCTTCATCCTACTTTTCCCAGCTCAGTCACGTGCACTTCCCTCTCCTTGTACAACGAACATTCCGCGACTACATGAACACGGTCTTCACACTTCGAGCCGCATTCACATTTCAACTTGTCTTCATCGTCTACCTTCGTACATCTTCGGCTACGTTCTCTAAGGCCAATGTCCCCGGCCCTCAATTTGACCTTCAGCTTTGCCCCCCCCCGACTGACCTAGGAAACTATAGGGGTAAAACACTGTTGGAACAAAGCAGGAAAAAACGTTCTGTAAGCTGCTGAAAGATATGATAGTTGGGAGTAATGGAGAAGAAAGGTATGAAAAGTGAGGGCCAGGCAGGTTTTCGAAAGAAGAGGGGGTGCGTAGACCACGCATTCACGGTAGGGAGAATCATCCTTGGTAGAAAGAGGGCGGGAAAGCCGACGTACTGCTTCTTCTTGGACGTGAAAAAGGCATGCGACACCGTATGGAGAAATGGGCTGCGGAAACATTTGTCCAAGTGTGGGATAAAGGGGAAAATGTGGAAAATACTGAAGAATACACCAAAGTGTACGAAGAGAGCTGTCATGCTAGACGGAGAACTGTCTAAATTCTCAACATTGGACAGGAGGTCCCACAAGTTTGCACTTTGCCCCCAACATTGTTCCAGGTGTCCAACGATATGTTGAAATTCGTAGAGGCAGTTGGGGAGGGAGTGAAGGCAGGGGAACCTTTGATGCCGGGAACGCTGGTTGCGGATGATTTTGTTGGGATGTCTAACACCTCTGAGGGACTTGAACTGCAGATTCAAGCAGCCAAGGATGTTGCTGGTAAGTGGAGATTGTCTGCCAACGTTGAGAAGAGTGCCGTTATGGTATACAACGAGTACAGGGAGAAAGTAGTGGAGCATAGATGGAAGTGGGGGGTCGAGGAGCTTGAAGTTGTGGATTAGTACAAATATCTCGGAGTAGAGATCGCAAAAGACTGCTCGTGGAATGCACACATGTCCACGGTAGCGAAAAAGGGCAAAGCACGAGCAGGATAGCTGCACCCGATACTCGCACAATCGGTACCTCGATACACGCGTAAGACTGACAGTTTTGAAGAGCGAAATCGTTGGACCGCTAGGGTACGCCGGAGAAGAATGGAAATACGAAGGTAGTCAAAGAGCTCGAGGCGGCGCAGATGAAAGCAGTGAAAATCATCCTGTAATAGGATGCTCCAGGCGCACAAGTAATGCAGCAGTCAGGGCAGAATTGGGGATCCAATCCCTACGGTCGGGAAGAGCCGCAAGGAATCTAAAATGCAGTACCGCATGTGCGGGATGGGAGAGGAGAGGTTGCCGAGAATTGTATNTGAAAATCATCCTGTAATAGGATGCTCCAGGCGCACAAGTAATGCAGCAGTCAGGGCAGAATTGGGGATCCAATCCCTACGGTCGGGAAGAGACGCGAGGAATCTAAAATGCAGTACCGCATGTGCGGGATGGGAGAGGAGAGGTTGCCGAGAATTGTATGGGAGGCGAAGTAGGCAAACAAAAAGAGGGGTAGACAACCCACGAAGCGGGTTAAGGTTGTTGATGGCGAATAGAAGGAGATACGAAATTGACGAAGGTGAAACGCTGGAAACGGAAGGACAAGATGGGTTTAAGGAGAAGATATCTTATGCTTTTGCCGAGAGAAAGGACAGAATCAAACCAAATAAACCAAGGAGAAAGAGGGTCTACATGTGTACTGAATCAAAAGAAGGAATAGGGTGTGCGCACCCTGGCAACCAAGGACATGCGACAAAGGCCCCGCCCTCCCTTCACAACGAGACAAAAAATGGCACCTCAACTGCTGCAGATGCAAAGTCAGCGGGTTGTTGCAAACTTTCGTGAGCACTGCTGTCACAACCGCCACCGTACAGGCATTTGCTGTCTGCCTCCACACCTCAGCCTGCGTGGCAACACTACCGCACAACCAAACGACCACCCCAACCCAAGTCACCTTGGTTCCGTGAGAGGCATGAGGCACCTCATCACCACGTGCCGGAGATGCTTCCTGAGCACCGGCAGGTTGGCTATGTCCATCCCCGAGAGTGCCTCCAGGCTCATGTGCGTCAGAGGGGGTTCCGAGAACCCCACCCACAGCCGCTTCACGAAAGGCCGGCCATCTCCCACCGCCATGGCGACGACCACCTACATAGGACACGATACGACATAAAAAAAAAACAAAACCGGACCGCCGTGTGGTCGGTGTTTTTGGATTGTTTATTTGGAGAGAGATTTAATGTTCGCGGTAAATTTCAATCTTTTGACTCGCTGCCCCCGAACCACGACAAAAAAAAAACTGTCGGCTGGACCACCATGAAGTGATTCGTGTGGCCGTTCGCGTGTTGCGTGTTGCGACTGCCGAACCCTACAAGCGGAGAAAGCACAGAGAGAGAGAGAGAGAGAGAGAGAGTACGTCCCGCGGGCAACGTGATGCAACGCCATCGGCACGTCTCGACGGCACCGCACACACACACTGCTGTACGGATTCAAAGCCCATTCCCCAGTTTTATGTTTTCTCACCACACTGATACAAACAATGATCGGCGTAAGCGCACGCACAGTAAATAGAAGCGGTTGAAATCACGCGGCGAGCGGATGCAAACCAAAACCAACCAACCTCCGACACGCCAGTCTCAGTGGAAAAAATCGGACTTGGGAGTCAGGAGCAGGGGAGAGTTAGCCCAGGATACTTCAAGGCAGCGACCTTGAAAGGCGAGTGTTGGACATCCACGTTAAGTTTCTAGTAGCCGCAGCCGAATCCAACTACTGTTTCCGCGGATCATGAACTCGCTCGAAGAAAATATAGCGGTAACGCTGTTGCCTCTGACGTGTGTTCTTGGCAAGAAAAGACCGACGTGTCGTGCGTTCGTTCCTTACCTTTCCCTTTATGCCGAGATCGCACAGCTTTACGCGGTAGGTCGGGACGTAGCTACTCAGGCTCCACCAGTTGCGACGGCGGGACTGCTCACCAAGCTTCAGGGAAACCTATGGCGGCAATGGCGGTGGCGATTGTCATCGCCTGGTCGTTATCGCTTTTTCTCGGGAGCAGCAAGGGAGAGCTTTCAATGGTATCCCCACTGCTCGGGAGAAACACGAGACAATGTTCGTACTAGTTTATCGTACCCATGAGACAGGTAGTGGGTGTCACTGATGACGACGAGAAGGTCGACGGTATCAACTTCAGGCAGACAAGATCTTGACAACAACGCATACACGGATAGGCCGTGCTACATAATGACGAAATGCCAGACCGAAATACATTTGCACATCAAGGGGCGGAGTCACCTGGGTTCGCGCGTGACCAGCACAGTTCGGCCATGCTTCTCCCAAAAAATAAAATAAAAATGAAGACCTTTGCACCCCCCCCCCCCCCCCCCCCCCCCCCCCCCCCCCCCCCCCCCCCCCCCCCCCCCCCCCCCCCCCCCCCCCCNTCACCTTTGAGCGCGAGCTGGTCCAATCAACGCCAACCTCGAGGTAGACGATGTTCTCTCCGGCGATTTCTCCGCCTGGCTGGCCGGCTTCGAGCAGCACGCTGTCGATGATGCCGTTGGACGTGCCCATGTTCCGCCGCTGTGCGAGCGAGGTCACGTTCTGGACCTGCACGTACCTATTGGTTGTTCGTTTTTGGCAGCAGTTCATGTGGTTGTTCTTTATTACCATCTTCGTAACGATGTCGTGCATCCAGGTGATTTGCTACGGTGGTTTCACTAGCCAGCATTCGCCACGGCTACACACCGGCAGACTCGTCGCAATATTCATCGTGCCACCAAAAAAAGGCGACCGGAATTTGTTTTGCGAACGCCCCCAGCTCCTCTACTCACAGCAACAGCAACAACAACAACAACAACAACAACAACAACAACAACAACAACAGCAACAGCAGCAGCAACAACAACAATAACAACAACAACAANTAGATATTCCACACCTTATCTTGGGGGGTGTCGGGCCTAGCGTCACCTTGCCAAGGCCCACCCACGAGACGTTGCTCGGCAGGCTCCTCTCGATGCCCCTCGTGATCTGCCGCGAGGTCCACCCTGACAAGAGCGGCTGCCATTTCGCAACACAAGCGCAGCAAGTATCTTTGTTGTACCCATGATTACTTTGGTTGTGCAAGCCGGCGGCAGCTGGGTTGTTCGGTTGGTGGATTCATCGTTTGCTATCGACAATATTAGCACTTTCGTGGCTCGATCCTTCGCATACTGTTCTCTCCGAGAAAAATACGTGGCGCGGAGTGCGCGATATACAACAAAGTAAAAATAAATGAAGATGTACCCCCTTCACAAACCCAAGAAATGAATCAACAGGTCTCCCGACTTCCTGCGAGCTACCCAGGAGATGCTTTGCTTTGGAAAAAAGCGCACATCATCTAAAAGGGGGCAAGAGTCCTCCACTCCCCCCATACTACGAGGCCCAAAGGAGGTGGATGTCTTGGAACTCCTCACAGCAGCGTGGAGGATCGTGCGTCGGTTGCGATGAAAACCCGCCCAAAGCTGTTCGCCCAACACATGGCAGGAGAGCATGCCCTGATTTCATTCTCAACATGATGTTGGTCCAACACATGGCACGGAGAGCTAGCCGTGGTCATGTCAAATGTGCCATGGATCTCACCTCGAGCATGGGCACCCACATAGCCGCCACAGCCGTGTTGAACCACCTGGCTCTTTCAGGCGAGCCCTCGTGCAGCCTTCGGCGCACGCGAGGGGGCGGGCAGATTACGAAGGACACCCATGGAACAGAACGGTGGTTGGCAAACAGCGTTGTTACGCTACACCAAACCAGAAGCAGCGCTGCGAATTTGTTGTCCACACGCGACACCTGATAAAATGACAAAACACCTACCCAACCTGATGGAAAACAGCAGTACAAGGGAAACACCAGGCACCGCCAACACTTGCGTGCAGAATCGTCCAAACTCTCCGGTTGGTCGCATTAGAAGCGGAGCGCCGTACACCCACCATCAAAGGCGCTGACTTTGCAATCGAAAAATGCGAGCGGCATCGTTCTTCGGCCCCCGTTACCATCGGATGTAACTTGAGGCCGCATGTACGGTTCCTTCTCCCTACGAAGCAAAACGAGCCATTTCCCACGCAAAACACTACCCTCTCAAGGACTCTTTCCTTTTCCTACTATTACACGCATGTTCTTTCGCGTTTGGGAACTGCCCCTTCGACGCACGCCCCCCACGGACCTAATCTAGATACCGCACAGGCTCTTTTGTGTCGAGGGCTCCTCGCTGATTGCTGCTCTCTCTCGCTCACCTAGCTACAGCCTCGAACTTAATGTCTGAGGTCATGCGCTCCTTCAAGCACTCCAGGTAGATCGACTCCACAAACTTGAGGTACATCCTGCCGTGTCACGCAAAAAAGGAAAAAAAAACGTAGTGGGAGCGCAACGGCGTCAGTCAGGAGCGGCGGATCCCCCCTTGACCACCTTCATCTCTCTTGTTCCTGATGAGTTTTCGGCGCCGGCAATCATCGCTTCTTGAACATTGGCAGCGGCAGGAACTACCGCCGTTTCACTCTTGTCGGGGCGAAACTATCATACACCGAAAGAAACTCACGGGCGTATAAGACAGCACAATTCCAACAACACAAGAACTCCCAACCTTTTGTGTGACAGCAAGGAGAAACTCGTTCGACAAAGACGGCGTCTCCAAAGAACGGACGGGCATGCAGGCAGTAAACATATTTCTGGGAACACGCAAGCGTTCATCGACGAATAAATCCTTGGGCCGTCCCCGCCTCCCCTTGAAAGCTACCACGAGCGAACTCCAGCATAAAAACATTCCCTGGCTTCCTTAGCACCCAGCAAGTATCCCCCCACGTCCTTGCACGTATGTACGAAGAACCAAACCGCCGTTCAGCATCATTCCAACCCTCCGCTTCTCCAACCGCGGACGGCTTCGACAACACCGCCAACAGCCTCCGATCGTACGACCGAAGCACTCTCTGCAGTGCAGCACCCACAAGAAACAACAAGACTTATCAATAGCCCCAGATACAGCAAGCACAGCAGCCGACCAATCCAATAGCCTCAGAATCAACACCCACAGCAACCGCCCAATCCAGTCTCATACACCCGCAGATATACCAAGCACATCCGCCGCCCAATCCAATCTCACACACCCAGACAGCAAGCACAGCAGCCGCCCAATCCAATCCAAACCAATCCAATCCCAGACACCTCTCTCACACCTGGCTCCCACGAAGCTGGCCGCCCCGCACCATGGGTTCTTCGTCACCGCCCGGCACGCGAAAACCATCGCGCACGCCACCATCTGCGGAAACCTCATCGTCGGCACGGCCTTGCTCGTCCTCATGATGGACAGCCGGATGGCGTACCGCGCGCGGGCGGCGAGGGCCAGCAGCCTCGGCTGTCGGCGCCTGAGCCCCCCCGGTCCGCCGGTCAATAGGCCCTGCTGCCACTGGTGCTGCTGGTGGGCATAAGGCCTACCGCTATCGTGGTGGTGGTGGCCGCGACGAGCGTCTCTGCCGAAGTGCGTCGCGAGATCGCCCTCCGAGTAACCCATGTTACTCCCGCCTGAGACATGCCCGCCGCCGCCGCCGCCGCCGCCGCCGCCGTCTACTGCCCCCGTTGTCTCGCCGCCGCTGCCGGCTGCCGGGGGCATCCCGAACACCATGTTGTCTATGATCCGATCCTCCTCCTCGGAAAAGTAACCGCGCGTTTGCGCGTCGCTGCCGGGGGAGGCTGGGTTGATCACGCTCCCGACGACCGACCGTATCGTTTCCTCGGCGACCTTTGGTGTGTGGATGCAAGCAGAAGCACGTATATACACAGATGACGTACGGCAACCCCGGGGGGGCAGTAGAAAGGTGTCGGTCTAGGGGGTCTGCACACCCACTCATCAAGAGCACAGTTTGGGGGGGAGGGGGGGGGGGGGCTGCTTGCTGCAGTGTACACCCGCTGCCTTGGTCTAGACCCTCGATCGAATCATTATAAGGGTGGAACAATAACCCTACGCCCATTGTCGGTGGTGGGAGCCTCACCATCCTAACGACCTAACGATATACTGCACAAACACAGCGGAGTACCGACCAACTTACTTATTGTACTGTCGTTTTCAGACAAGAAAACCCGCATACTCGAGCAGGAACTAGCCACACATAGAAAGCTTCTCCCCCCCTCCCCTCCTCGTGTTGTATAGGCTGGATCGAAAGCATTCTTGAGACACCTTTTGCAAAGTAGGAAGGCACGATTGGCAATCGGCGATCGGTCCTGTGGGAACAATGTTCCGCCCTCTCGAGGACGCGTGGCCAATGGGCTAACCGCTAAGGAGTGCAAAACATAAGAGTACGCCCCCCACCCCCCCTTCCCCCTCGGCACCCACGTGTATAGGCGCCTGCCTGTTCGCCTGTGACTCGATCTATTGTCACGGGCCCACCCACCTCGGTGGCTTCTGCAGTCACGTTTTCCGCCGCAACACCGAAGTCGTAAACAGTCTCCGCCGTCTTCCTCAGCCCTTTCGCCACAAAACGCCAAGTGTCTGTGATGACCATGGCCGGCGGTCGTTTTTTTGGCGAGAACGTGACGGTAGAGATCGGGCCGCGAAGAGAAAGGGCACGGGGCAGGGTGTTAGCATCCACGTGTCGGACACGCTGGTGTTCGGGTCGCGAAAGCAGACCGCTAGGGCAAGACGAGCGAGACGGAAGAGCTAGGGCAAGACGGGCGAGAGAGACCTACCACGGGGGTGGTATTGACGGCATGGGCGCGGGGGACGCTACTACTGCGGTGCGTGGATTCAAGGGAGGCAAGAGCGGGTGGGGGCAACTAGCTTATGAGTACTGTCGACGGAAAAGTCATTTAGTACAAGCTGAGGGAAGCATCCAAGTCGCTCGGGAGGAGCAGGGCAAAGGAGTCAGTCCATCAGTCCACCAGTCCGTCAGTAGCACCAACGAAAGGTTACCGTTCATTTGATTGATGACGGTGTTTGGCATCGCCGGCAGACGTATCGCTGGCGGCATGTCGACATACACCATGTAGTCGTCATCACGTTCAAGTTGGCTTCTATCCGCCCTCATCAAACGAGGAGCAGCAACACCTCTGCTGCGTGTGTTTCCTTCCCTGTGGAAAACTATCCATCCCTGCCGATCCCCCCCCCTCCCCCCCCATCCTGGTTTGCTCGCCTGTAACACCAGGAACCTCCCTCGGGGACTTGGATGAGACGTATTCAATCCCATCTGCGGGGGTGAGCGGCGGCGTAAGGGTAGCAGCGGTAGCAGAGGTCAAGCCCGAACGTGGAAAAGGGGGTGAGGGGTTGGCGTGCTACTTCGACATCAAGGCTGGGAGCGGGGCATCGGGATCTCCAAGGCAGCAAAAAAAAAAAACAATCAGGAGCCGAGAGAATCTCGCTCGAAAAATCTGGAGGATGGCCACAGCATGCGTTCCCGTTTTCCCCTTCGCCATCACGGGTTCCAAATAGGAGTGTGACGATACAAGGCCATCCAACAGCAGTACAATGTATGATGTAGCGCGTACCCCCCCCCAACCCCCCCTGCACGTTCGTACCGACGGCGTCGAGAACTGCTGCTCCTGCCAGCTTGAAAGCTCCTCCCGCAACCACCGACGCTGCCGTCCCCGTGACGTTCACCGCCCGTGCCAACCCGTTAGTCGTGCGGGTGGTGACAGTCTTGAGGGACCGGAGGAGGCTGTCCCCCTCGCGCCTCAGACGTGATCTACCGCTGTTGCTGCGGTGGACGGGGGTGCGAGGAGAGCGGTGGGAATTGCACGACGAGGACCGTACAGGGAAATTTTGCGGAGGAGTTGTCGGCAAGCGGGGTGGAGTTCGTGGGAGAGGGTGGTTCGATAGTGGCGTGAACGCTTAGCACCTACAAGGTTAAGGCAATATATGTTAAGCTAACTCACCGCGAGCAGATCCTAACCTCAAGGATACATTTTTCTTTTTCTGCCGGTCAAGATGGCTTAACACATACGAAAAAAAAGGTTTGTGCGAGGCCTAAATCTCTCATTCGCTGGATGTACGTGCGCGGTGGCAGCTGTTTGATTGTAGCGTAGGCGTCGAAAGTTGTGTCTGTCGTTACTGCTGTCTAGACTTCAACATCGACGAGGGGGGTCCGCCATCGATACGCCTGCTCTCGGGATGGGAATCGAATGCAGGGGCACCGCAGATTGCGTTTTCCAGGCCCGAAGATACCCACAAGATGGAACAGAAGAAAACAACAACATTCACTCCTGCTGTACATGCTAAAAACATGACACGCTTACCGTTCTCGCGATCAGTTGATTCTGCTCGCGCGCAGAAACAAATCCTGAAAAAAAAAAACGTCCTTGCTCAGGCTGTTTCTTACAGAACCGGATTCTTGATCTGAAAAATCGATTTTTTCGGCCGGACAATAATCCGGCTGGGAAAAACGTACGACCCTTCTTACAGGAACCGGATTTTAGTCAGCGGATTTTTTGCTGGACTGTCATGTATTTTTGAAATGCAGCGCGCGCGCACGCGCGGGTAAAAAGTGCCAGCACGACATACACGCGCACAGCAGCAGACCTCACGCGGCAGACCACACAACCATTGCACAACATGCCCGATGGAGGTGCATCTGAGCAGCCTGAGGCGCTCTTGCTGAATTACAACCCATTGGCGAAGGCCGCTGTCGCACACTTTGGCGACTGCATCGAGGGCGGCATGACGAAGAAGCAGATAATGTTGCAGCTGCAGAGCGTTTGCGCCACCTACGCTTGCCAGGGAGTGAAGCGGAACGCTGGCTTGACAAACAAGAAGAGTAAACAGAAAGCTGCGACCCACGCTTACAAGACAATCGTGGTTCCCGGTTTTTTGGCTTGGCTGCGGGAGCTCGAAGGCTCTCCTG